GGGGGGGGGGGGGGGGGGTCAAACACCAGCGAGTGTGTCTCACACACAGGAGCCCCGGGGTCAGACACGGATGTGTGCCCCCCCACCCCGTCTGCTTTCTACAGGGGATTTTCTTACACAGCTCTTAAAACATCACTCTGAATTAGCATGGATCCAGGACATCACCTCACCCCCCCCCATCACCTCACGGGTCGGACCTTCACCCCACCGACCTGCACTGAAAAATGCTGCCCCCCCCCGCCCATCAGAATAATTTCAGGGTGGGGCAAGGATGGGGTGGGAGGGGGGTTCAGACAGACAGATAAAGCAATATGGGGATGTTAAGGTCACAAGTTCATCCCATGGACCCTAAGCGTCTGATAGCAAAATTAAAAGTAGCTGGTCTAGGAGGTAGTGGTGGTGGAGGGGGGGTTGTATCTTGAGCCACACTGCATCCTTCATTGCCATAAACCACACTGGTGTCCTCCAGCCCAGCTGCTGCTGCTTATCCCTAATCAACCCAATCAGCGGTAGGGGGCCCCCTACTGGAGGGGAGTGGGTACCACATGCACGGGGCCCGGCTGCATTCTCCCGTCTCTCAGCTACCTGATGACCACAGACCTGGGCAAACATGCTAACAACTAGTGGGGGTGGCAGCTAAGGGGGGTGCTAATGCAATCGGCCTTTATTAGGGGGCTATAAGGCCCGCTCAGATAATGGCTGTTTATGGCCCATCTTCTGGCTCCGGTTCCCCGCCAGGCTGAGCACCCTCTGCATAAATCAGCCCCCGTCAGCGCTGGACACCGGTCAGCCTGTTTGTTCATCCGCCAGCTGCCTGTCTGTTTTGTCCTTTAGGACAGCGGGTCCCGAATTTAGCGTGAGCAGTGAGACCCCTTGTTTCCGCTTAATGTGAGATTGCGTCGCCATAGCGACTAAAGTGACGCATTGAACCCACTTGTTGTGGGGGGGGGGGGGGCGTGCCACGGGTCAGTGGAGACCACATGCTTTTTGAGGGGGCAGTGCAATGCCCATGGTATGAACAACTCTCATCGGGGGGGGGGGCTTAAGGTTAGTGAACCACAGATAAACTCCACACTTCACTCAGTGCCCAGACACCCACCTCTCCCCCCTCAGTGCCCCATTCTCTCCTCCAAATGGGGGCGTTAATGTCAGGTGTTAAGTCCCCAGGATCATCACGACGATCGGCGCCGCTGAAAATCCCTGCTCCGCCACTCTCAGAACGATAAACTCCTCCTTTGAATCACTCACTCGTCGCCGCGTCAACCCGGTCCCGTCCTGTCCCATCCCGTCACCCCAATCCTGCCGACGGTGCCCCCCGGAGCCTTTCACTCACGCTGTACGACAGACACCCTTTCAGCTCCTCACCACTCACCTGGCTTAAAAGCAGAGAAATAAACCTCGCAATTAGCCTTAAACCTTTAATAGCTGAAAAAGCGCAAACTCTGAGAGGTGCGTGTCGTTTCTAGTTCACGACAAATCCCTGGCGTCGCGGTCAGATGGAGCAGGGGGGGCTTTTCCCACCCTGGCTGCCCACCCCTGCTCACGCTCTGGGACAGAGGAATGCTGACAGCCCCCCCTCCCGTCAGACAGGAGTGTGGCGTTGCGTCACCAAGAGCGATCACACCTCTGTCTTCACAGAGGACCTCGTAATCGACCCAGATTCATTATCTGTGGAAAACCGGAGCCAGAGACTCTAGTGGCCCATCTGCAGTGCTGGGGAGGGGCTGAAGGGTTTCTTTTTCTCCGGACAAATCCAATCAGGCTGCGTTACGCCGTCGACACCCCCAGGGTGATAATGTCGCTGATATCGGCTGAGTGCTCACACCCGGCAGGAGGTAACTCCACTGATAACCAACAGATGACAATACGCTGATACACCCCAATGCTGAAAAGATCATCAGTACCAACAAAGACGTGTGACAGGTAACTGCGTAACTGCTACAATGCCCATCATATCTTACAGGTGACGCTATCAGGGGTCTTGATAGCAGTCTGTCACAATCAATGTTCTTTAAGTTAAACGGCCGGCGCGTCTCGCTGTGATAGCAGTGGTACCTGGGTGGATAAAGCAGGCAGCTCCTTTCTCTGTGCTATTTCGTCGACAGGCAGTGACCTCAGAGGCGGGGGGGTGCTGAGCGGGCGCATGTGATTGGCTGCTGCAGTCCAGTCCCCTCATCACTGGCCCGCAGGCTTTTTTCTGTTTTGTTTTCTCGAGTATGGTCTTGAGTGGATGCAGGTATTTTTACGCTGTGCTGCTGTGTGGCGCAAATCACAAACATAAACACAAAGTAAGGAGCACGGGATCAAAGCGAGGGGGGGGGGGCACAATGCAAGTCGGCGGATGATTTCAGGGGGAAACCACAGGCGCCGACCTGCTGAGCCACAGCAACAGACCAACCTGCTCACCACTGGATGCCCCCGGTGTTGAACCCTAGCGCAGCGCAGGGGGAAGCCTGTGTCTGCCACCTCCTGCGGGCCCATTAAACCTCATTACAGCCCCCCCCCCCCAGGGGCCACCAGGACCCAATAACTCCACATCAAACGGACGAGGTAGGCGGGCGGCCGGCTCTCGTTCTGTCTGGGTGCCTTTAACGGCATTCACCACTTAATAAAAGGGAAATGAACGCAGCCCCCACTCCGGACAGCACCCCGCCTCACCCCCCCAAGCCCTTTCCCTTGTGGGGGCCCTTAATGTCCGTGCCGCTACATGTCTGATTCCAATGCCATTCATAATGCTGACGGTTAAAGGGTCATGAGACGCTCGATGCACAGCAGACCCAGAGGGTGTGTTTACCAACATTCTGCCACTGCCCAGCATGCCCCCACAAGGCCAAAGCATTGTCATATGGGGGGGGGGGGGCTGCTGATTTAAAAAGTCATTCAGTAAATGAGAAGTTAACTCTATTAACCAAACAGGGCTGCTGGTGGCCAGGCATTAGCCGGTAAGGCGGCCGGTAAACAGGCCCCCATGGCCCTTGATGCTGGGGGCCAAACCCCTGTGGGGGTGTCGGGAAGCCACATGATGCCACAAGTGTGAAATATATTACCGGGAGGCGGGTGACCGGGCAGGCAGGGGTCACGCCCCTCCCTTCATTAATCAGGGTGAATATTCCCACCCGCCACACATTCATCAGGTCTGGGTGTCACTGGATTAGCCTCCCCCAGTATGCGGGGCACCCATCCACGACCCCCCACCCCCGCACCCCAAAACACCTCCACACGTGTCCCGCACCACAGAAGGCGTGCCGGCTCTCCGCACACCAACCTCAGGGCGGGGTGCCACCCGTCTGGGTTCTCAGGCAAGCATTGACGCAGCAGGAAGCCCTGGGGAGAGGTTTGGAATCTCATTTACAGATAGGGCTGCGGGG